CATCATCATCATCACCACCACCATTAACACCATCATCACCAGCACCATCACCATCATCGCCACCACCATCACCATCATCACCATCATCACCATCATCACCATCATCATCATCATCACCACCACCATTAACACCATCATCACCAGATCATCACCATCAACACCATCATCGCTACTATCATCACATCACCATAAGCATCAGCATCATTACCCACCATCATCACCATCATCATCTTCACCACCATCATCACCATCATCATCTTCACCACCATCATCGCCAGCACCATCACCATCATCATCGTCACCATCAACATCACCACCAACACCATCACCACCATCACCATTACCACCATCAACACCATCATTATTACTACCATGATCATCACTGTATTAACCGCAGCAAACATGTAATGAACAGCAGTTATGTACCAGGCATTGACCCCCTGGTCCATACTATCTCACTTACTCTTTGCAACATTATAAGGTGGTTAATTATGCAATTCCCACTGAGGTACAGAAAAGACAAGAAAGTTGCCCGAGTTCACAAAGCTAATACAAGATGAAGTCAGGGATTTGAAGGCAGACACTCTTACCACTATATTAAAACTAGGAGAGACTTCCCAGTCACTTCATTTGTGGGGTGGTCTCTAAGTTCTAACTTTCCTGGTGGAGAAAATGAAGCCAAGAGAGAAGAGAACTTCCCAGGGTCACACAGCCACTTGCAGCAGAGCCCAGATCTGCAGGCAGTCTGCGGCTTGTAAGTGTGTATGGCACGCCCAGCCTCCTGGACCACCGCTCTGAGAAGGGTGAGCAGTAGTTGTGCACCACAAGGAGTCGGGAGCCCAGGTCTATGGTGACAGGTCTGTGGTGACAGGTCTGTGGTGACAGGTCTATGGTGACAGGTCTGTGGTGACAGGTCTGTGGTGACAGGTCTGTGGTGACATCCAGGACGAGGAGAATTTACGGGGCTCCCATCAGAGCTCTTGGTGACTTGGGTCGCTTTTGTGGGATCAGCTGGGCTGTGACGGACCCAGTTAGAGGAGTCATCTCAGCACTTCCTGTCTTGCCTTGCCTTGGCCTGGATGCTGAGGGCCGCGGGCGTCCCTTCTCAGCATCCGGCATCACTTCCCAGAATTAACATTTCTCTGCACTGAAAGCAAACACGCGTATTTCCCCCCCTTTAAATTTGTTTTGCTAAACAAATTAATCTAGCACCAGATTATATTACGAAGAACCATAAATCTTTTCCAAGATAAGCATCTGTCGAGTTGGATTAGCAACCTCCAATGTACTGTGAATTAATTTGCTGAGCCTTCTAATGCCGTCCTGAACATTTAACTTTAGTAATAACAAATGTAATTTGGAATAAATGGGAACTTGGTTTCTCGTCCGTGCCTATACAGTAAGTGACGTGTGTACAGGGGATGACAGTAAACGAATGTAGCACTAAATTCTATTATGATGATGGCTTGTGAGTTCATTGAGGTAAAGACAAATGCTTCCGTAAACTGCTCTCGGGCATCCAGCACAGACGTGGTGGGCTGCAGGCCGTGTGTGCCCTGGTCCTGTACAAAGGCTGCCTGGGAGACTGCCCGCGACCACCTGCAGACCTTCTCCCGCCGTGCTCCGAGCTCACAGCCTCCGTCCCTGGGCCTGGCCCCGGCCCCTGGCTTTGGGATGAGGCTGGGTTTGCTTTCACAGATACGCTGCTCTCTAGGGAAGAACTGTTCGGAATATACAAACTGCAGTTCTCTCGTTCAGGTGAAGGAAGGAAGTAGGTCATGGAACAAAAGCCGCCCACTCTCTGAAAACCTGTCCAACTCCCACGCCAGACGCAGCCTGGGGCGGACGCAGCCTTCAGGAAGACCTGTGTTGCCGAGAGACCCAGGGGAGCAATTCTCGTCTGTCCAGGGTCCTGAAAGGGGCCCCTCGGGGCCTGCGGAGCCCAAGGCCTTAGGATGCAGAGAATCAGATAAACGGCGCGGAGGAGGCCACGTGGCCCCCGCACCGCTTCGTGTGGACACCCCGGACTACACATCCTGTTTTAAGATCTGGCCGATACTGCGGCCCTTCTGGGATGTGCATGCCCAGATCTGATCTGTGAACATCCTGGTCCTGAGGGGCGTGGGGTCGTGGCCTGTTCACAGAGGCAGAGGGAGCCGGAGGCGGCAGGAGCACAGGGCTCCCGGACTCCGCGTGCGCCCTCAGCCAGCTGTGATGCTGGGGACGTGCCTGTGGCCGGCCCTGAAGGGACGAGCTGGGGCCTGGGAGGTTTTCAAGGGCCACTCCTTTAGAAGCAACTGGGCAAGGAGGTGGAGGAGAAAAAAACAAAAGGCTACTTTGCAGTGGATGCTTCAAGGTAACCGTCCGGAGGCACCCAGAGCCACGGGCGGAGGGACAAGAGCCTTTCGTTCTGACCCCCGTCCTCCAAACACCTGTGACGCTATCTCTGGGCAAGACACTCCTCAAGCCTGACTCAGTCTGCAGAGCCTCAGCCGGCAGCACGGGAAGTTCTCCCTTCTACCCGCCCTTAATCTCTTCTGCTGCTTGACGCGATCCCTAATTCTGGGCCAACGTGGCAGTCACCCTTCCACGGGCCACGGCCTGGAAGGTTTTTGGAGACTCCACCTGGGCCTTAATTCCACCAGCAGGCATGTCCGCATCTCTCTCCCAGGCTGGCCGGGAGTACCATTTGGGAAGAGGTGGCCCTGCGCCTGGTGGGGTCCGGACACCTGTGACACAGGCAAGGTGGGCACAGCATCCCCTTCTAGGCCACCATTGAGGAGACACCCTGTCCCGTCTCCCTTCTTCCAGCCAGAAGGGTCTGGCTAGAGCACAACCTATATTTGCCAGGACCCAAAGCCCATGGATACGTGTGCCGCTTCGGCCCCCAAGGCCACGGCCCAACTGTTTGCTCTTTGCCGTTGCCATAGCCGCTGAGAAACGGGGAGTCCTGCCAAGCACCGTCACCAGGCACAGTGTGGCACCCTTCACGAGCCCCTCCCCAGAGTGTCCTCCCCCAAACCGAACCCCAAACAGAAAAGAGGTGGGTGTACCTGAGGTCTCCCCCAGAATCCGCGGGGGCTTGCCGTCTTCGCCGTCGTCTTTGCTGGGACTGGTGGAAGGCTCCGTTGTGCTAACCCCAACCGGGATCCTATTCCTGGGGCCCAGGGGCTCCGTGACCCCCTTAGTCTGCAGTGTGGTGGAGGTGGCTGTGGTGGCTGTGGCGGTGGTGGTGGCGGTGGCCACCGTTGTCTTCCGTGTCTGTGAGATGGAGGCCGTGGTGGGGCCATAAAGCCCTGGGAATGTGTTGGATTCCGGGGCCTCCTCCTCCCCCGTGGGCCCCCAGGCGATGAACTCTGTCTCCGTGGTGGGCCTGCTGCCCCGGAAATCAAAACCGCTGAAGCCGGCCCCCTGCAGGTGCCTCTTCTCCCTCCGCAGGAGGGCCTGCGGGTCCGTGGTGGCCCCGCTACCCGCCGCGGGGGACGGGGATGAGGAGGAGGAGCCCAGGGAAGGGCTGGATTTGGCAGCGGCTGGGGGCTTGGCGAGCCCCCCTCTGGGCACCAGGGCGGCCACCTGGTCCCTGGGTCTGTGTGCCCGTTTGGCGCGTGGACTCGGCACCTGCCCGTGGCTGCGCTCCACGCGGGCCGGGCGTGGGCTCCACACGGGCACGGAGAGGCGCGCCGCCTGTCCGCTCTTCAAACTCCACAGCCGTGGCGGCCGCTGCGGCGGCCGGGGCAGGAGCCGGAAGTCGGGGCCCGGGCCCAGGGCCGCACAGGAGGGCAGATCCATGGCGAGCTGGAACACGGCTATGAGTATCCAAGCACGGCCTCCTCGGGAGCAGCCCGGCCAGCGGACGCACATGGAACTGTGTGGGAAAGAGAAAGCAGGGTCAGGGGGGCCCTGGGGGCGGTGCCGGCAGTCCCCCCATCCCCGCCCTTCTGGTAAGGAGCGCCAACCCTCACCTGAGAGGCGCAGCCGGAGCCCTGCATGAGCTGACTTCACAGCCCTGCGGCCGGGGGAGGTGGGGGCTCCTGCTCATCAGCACCGCAGCAGCCCCATTCCCGCGCCCTGCGCCGCACGTCTCTTCCCAGGAGCGTGCGATGCACACGACTGCTTGACGTGACACGGGAGGGAAACTGGGTCTCAAAACCCCCAACTCAGCCGACAAGATGATCTCAAACCCCTTCTGTTCCCCACTCAGCTTCGGCCCAGAGTGAGACAGACACACGTCGAGGACGTGCGGTAACAGGGGGGCGAGGTGGGGGGCTCAGGCTACCCCTAGGGTCCAGGGCTCCATGTCACAGAAGTTACGGACCCAAGTCTCGGCGCTCACAACCTCCCCTTCCTGAGGCCTGGAGGGACAGGGGTCCCGCCGGACATCACGGGGGCACGGAGGTCGGGCATCTCCCGAGCCCCACCCAGGCTGTGGTGGGCAAACCCTCCCCCTTCCCAGGCACTCGTGCGAGTCTCAAAGCAGGCTGTGGCCTTGGGCGCTACACGCTGGAGCACTTCTGACTTGGGGCCTCCTCTGGGATTTGTTCAGGAAAATGAGATCTGCTGTGGGTGAGCGGGAAGTCTGCCGGCGCGCCAGCCTGGCCCGAGTGCTGCTCTGTTGGCGCTCCAGCTCCCCTATTTGCCTGCAGTGCAGGTGCCCTTTGAAGCCCCACAGTCCACCTCCTCGGCTCAGGCGCAGCTGGGGGAAGGGCAAAGCCCACGCGACCCGGGGAAGAACGCCGGTGGGTGCACAGGGCGCCACGTGCACCCTGAGAGCACACTGGCAGCCACGTGGAGGGCTGGGCTTAGGGGACCCGGGCCCACACTCCTTCTCCCACCAGCTTAGGTAACAGAGCACTGGGTACAGACACCATTCGGAGCCGGCCCTCGTCACCCGCGTCACGTCTGAAAATTGACACAGATCCAGGACGTTAGCGACGGCTGTGGGCGGGGGCGGGCGGAGCTGCCAGCCTGGAAAGCTGCTCAAGACCAGCCCCGCAGAGTACAAGGCAGTTTTCTTCACGAGGTTCGCGTGACTTTAAAAGGGAAGAAATCAGTGAGTGAGCAGCGTGTGGTGTGTGAGTGAGTCATGTGTGTGTGCGTGCACTGGAGTGTGTCTCGGGACCACAGGCCAGCGTGGGCGACTGCTGGTGTGTGGCGGTGCACCAGTGAAAGGACAAATGTAGAGTGGGTGTGAGTGTGTCAGCAAGTGTGTAAGAGCAAGAGTCCACATGGGGGGTCTGTGTCAGTGGGTGTGCAAGACTGTGAGTCTGCTGTGAGGTGGTCTGTGTGCCATCTGTCATATACGTGCATGTGTGCCTGTGTGGGTGTGGCCCCGCACGGGGTCCATGTCAGTGAGCACGTATACGTGTGTCATTGTGCAAGAGTGGGAGTCCGTGGGGGGTTTGTGTACCCATCTGTCGTGGATGCGTACGCATGTGTGCACGCAGCCGAGTGTGGGGTCTGCATGTCACTGTGTGTGTGTGAGTGTGCACGAGTGTGAGTCTTGGGGGGTCATCGGTGTGCCCATCCATTGTAGATGCACACGCATGTGTGCCTGCAGCTAAGTGTGGGGTCTGCGCGTGTGTGTGTGTGTCTGCGTGCGAGCCCCCCCTCGTTCTTCACTGAGCCCCGTGTACCCGGGGTCACATCTTCCCCGGGGGGTACTTAGGCACGTGCCGCTCCCTGCCTGTCCTCGGGATGTGGAAAGGAAGAAACTTGTATTAATGAGCGCTAATTACCAAAAAGGACTAATCCCCAAATAAAAAGGGCCCAGTTCTTTAATCAGAATGAAAGTGCTTTGCTGCAGAAATTAGGAATCGCTCATTATGCTAATGCCTCTGCACTGAGCTCCTGCCGGTGTGCAATTTCTCTGCACAGCCCGCCAAGCTCCATGCAGGGACCAGGGCCTCCGTCACCGCACGCAGAGATTTAGGTCACTGTGAAACATCCCGTGCACACGGTAAGCACAGCTTCTATGGCCACAGGTGCCTCAGGGAGGATGGACGATTTACACCCCCAGGTTCTCCCACCACTCTGCATATTTGGATGGGAGTCCAGCGCCAGAGCAGTGCCTTACCCCAGAAGGCCCCACCAGGCCCCACGAGGTCCTACCAGGCAATGTCAGGCCCCACCAGGCCCCAGCAGTCCCTGCAAGGTCACTGGGGAACCTCAGGCTCCAGCAGATCCCACCAGGTCCCAGCAGGTCCCACCAGGCCCCACCAGGAAACACCAGGTCCTACCAGGCCCCACCAGGCCCCACCAGGCCCCATCAGGCCCCACCAGGAAACACCAGGAAACACCAGGAAACACCAGGTCCTACCAGGCCCCACCAGGCCCCATCAGG